ACAAGCCAATGCAACCCTTCGCGATCCTTCGGATCAGCACGCGAAGGGGCATCCAAATCAGCCATTCTAAAAATTAAAAATTGTGTTAATAATCTCTTTGCAACGATGCACAAAAAGTATTTCAACGCACATCAGAGTGTACAAGGCTTTGGGTTGAGTTGGCCACCTGACCTCGGTTGGTAGGTCCTTCACCTGTGTAGGCGTCAGCTCGTTGCCCATTTGAACCTTCGTTCGAGCCCCATAAGTAATTCGAAGGATATCAACCGGGACAGAGTCGATCATGTCCGGCACCACTTGAGCTTCTTCCATTTTTGTCTTGATCCTAAACAATGGGTTTCGGCCAGCGTCGCTTGTTGGGAAAACAGTCGCTGAAAGAAGGAAAAGAACCGCAAATAAAACTGTGAAAATCATTATTTTTGGTAAGATAATTTTCAAAGTAGTGGTCAACTGTCTACTAGATAGAATTGTTCAAATTACCTGACAATTTAAATGGATAGTTTCTAAGGTCAGTTTCCCTGAAACACAATCTTATTGAATGCAATAGCAATTGTTCTTTTTTGACACTAGTGCAATTGTCTGCAGCGGCAGAAGTGCCAAGTGCCTAATGTTCTGTTCCTCATGCCTTTAAGTAACATGTAAAACCAGTTTCTGCTGTCTCACTTCTCCTTTTCTTATTAACGATTATCGACAACTTTTTTTAGTGACATTCGCAATTGTACTTGCAAACTGTACCTAGAAAATTGTGCACAAAATAAATAAAAAAAATTGATGATGATATTACTTTTCCTGCACGAAAATTATCGTCATTCTCTAATCACATGTAATTTCAAGGTTAAAACTACTATTCTTTTGCAATAACTGAATGAGAATTTGTTAAACACTTGATAATTTTAAATTAAAGTTTTCTAATTTTAAAATGATTTTAAAGTGAATTTGCCTTTTGAATAAAAATAAATTTAGTTATTTNATATTCTTTTGCAATAACTGAATGAGAATTTGTTAAACATAAATTTTTTGATAACTTTAAATTAAAGTTTTTTAATTTTAAAACAAGGGCGTGAGTGTCGCTTCGCGCCACAAACCACCGTTTCATTNTCAATGGTAAACAAGACAATTAAGTGCATTTAATTGAAAAGTAAATTAAATGATCTGAGTTCACTGAAGTTGAACTGAAAATTTCTCTTTGTTAATCAATTTAAATAATAAAATTATTTGTTGATGTTGCTGCTTGTTTATCTCCACACATATTTTTTCTCAAAATGTCTATTGCAATTTCCAACTTTAACATCTCTAACATTCTTATGGCTACCTTTATTTTTGCTCCAATTCAAGCAGGAAAACTGAAAATGCAAAAAACGATGAAAAAAGAGCGAATCGTGCCTGATGTGATTGACACACTTCCACACACTTTACTTCAAGTAAAGTACTCTGAA